CAGACAGGTAAATATCTATACTTTGCTCCACCCTTTTTACACAAAAGTAGCTCTCTAGCCACCTGTTCTGCACCCAACCATAGTGAGACCCTATAAAACACACAAGTTGTCTGACCATGATGGATGATTAAGTAAATCACATTACTGTATAGCAAGGAGCAAGGGCTTGGCCAGAGCCACCAGCAGTGACATAAATAAATAGTATCTGGTATCATGAAAAAGTAATATGTCAAATGAAAATAAAACCGAGGGCAGAGTACATAAGATTTCTACTGGTGGACACTATCTTTCAGGAGAATAAAGTTCAGAAAAGGTCACAGGAAACTGGTAATGCCTAAGATAAATTGGAAGGCTAGTGGGTATAATGTTTTGCTACACATAAAAGCAAAATAAAAAGAAAGGGCTGTGAGCTTTTGGGGAATGCAATCCAAGGACCCTGCAACCAGCCACAAATAGATGGCAAGACCCTGCCACTCTTCTCCTAGGCAGAGGGGGAAAGGCTGTTTGACTTTCTAGAATCTGTCTCCCTGGATTGGAGGGTGTTTGCAGTTAATTGCATTGTGGAAATAAGAGTAGAACAAATACCCCACCCAGGGCAGGGACAGGATATAGATTCCTCAGGCCTGAACTGTTCAGGCCGAGGCCACACATTTGTGGATGCCTCACACCCCAGCACTACCCCTAGCCTGCAGGATGGAGTGCTGCCTTTCAGCCTGGCACCTTGTCATGCATTCTTTCATTCATTCACCCATTCATCCCTTTATCCAACCATCCATCCATCCATCCACCCACCCACCCACCCATCCATCCACTTATCCATTCACTTCTCCACTCACTTGTTACACTCAGTGTTTGTTGTGTGGCTGATCCTGTGCCAGGTACAGTGATAGCTGTGGCTGAGATGGCCTCAGCCCCTCCTCGTGGGGTGTACAGTCTGGAACAGAACTAACCCAGCATGGGGAGTGCATCCAAATCTTGGGCTTTTCAAGAGCACAGAAGTGGGAACTAGGCCCCGCTGGGGAGCAGGGCTGCTTCCTGGAGGGGATGACAACCCCACTCAGTGGGAGTCGGGGGGCTGAAGGGAGAAAGGGGACATTCCAGATGAAGGAGACAAGAAAAGGCCCACAGATCAGTACCAGCAGCCAGTTACCAAGCGCTTGCCCAGGTGTGGGCCCTGCACCAGGCTCTTGGCAGTCCAAAGCCCATTTCACTCCACAGGAGCCTTGCAAGGGAGATAGTCTGAGCTCCATTCTTTCCAGCTTTATTGAGATATTATTGACATACAACATGTCAGTTTAAGGTGTACAATGTGATGATTTGATACACATATTTATTGTGAAATGATTACTACTATTAGGTTAGTTAACACCTCCATCCTCTCACATAATTACCATTTTCTGGTGGTGGTAACATTTAAGATCTCTTCTCTGAACTTTCAAGTGTCTAATACAGTGTTGTTAATTATACCCACCATGCTGCACATTAGGTCCCTAGAATGTATCATGTCATCATGTCAAATGATGAATATCATTTATTCATCACGTGGCTGGAAATGTGTACCTGTTGACCAGCATCTCCCCATTTCCTCCACTCCCCAGCCCCAGCGCCCACCAGTCTACTTTCTGTTTCTGTGAGTTCAGCTTTTTTTTTGCATTCCACATATAAGTGAGAACATAGAGTATTTGTCTTTCTCTGTCTGACTTATTTCACTTAGTATAATGCTTTTAAGGTCCAGCCATGTTTGTTGCAAATGGCAGGATTTCCTTCTTTTTTATGACCGAATGATATTTTTTTCTGAGCCATCCATTGATGGCACTTAGGTCCTTTCCGTGTCTTGGCTATTATGAATAATGCTGCACTGAACGTGGTGGTACAGCTATCTCTTCAAGAGAATGATTTCATTTCCTTAGGGTATACACCTAGAAATGGGATTGCTAAGTCATGTGGTAGTTTTATTTCTAATTTTTAAAATTAATCTTTTTGTTAATTTTTTCAGGGGGTGGTAATTAGGTTTATTTGTTTATTTTTAATGGAGGTACTTGGGATTGAACCCAGGACCTCATGCTTGCTAAGAATGTGCTCTACCTCTGAGCTACATCCTATCCCCGATTTTAAATTTTTTAAGGAAGCTCCATACTGTTTTCCACAAAGGCTCCACCAATTTGCATTGCCATCAACAGTGCACAAGAGCTGCCCTGTTCTCCACATCTTTGCCAACACTTGTTATCTCTCGTCTTTTTGACGATAGCCGTTCTAACAGGTGTGAGGTGATATCTCATTGTGGTTTTGAATTGCATTTCCCTGATGCTCAGGGATGTTGAACATCTTTTCATCTACCTGTTGGCCTTTTGTGTGTCTCTTTTGGAAAAATGTTTGATCTCCCCTTTAAAGGTGAGGATGCTCAAGGACAGGGCTGAGGTTTACCTGGTCTTCCATGTCTCTCCCTGGTGCCCAGCCCAAGTCCTAACATACAAAATATGCTCAAAAATTGCAGATGGAAGAGAATGGCATGGGCTGGATCCCAGATACTGGATACCTCCATCACTAGGGAACTATGAGTATGTCCCTGAAACCCTCCACCCATAACTTCCTGGTCTGTAAAACAGGGATACTTTCAAAATCAACATTTTTAGAGCATCTGTGTCCTGTGTTAGGAAAAACAGCAAACAACACAGAGTTTCTGGCTCAGGGAAATTCTAGGGAAGGATCTGGAAAGTTAGTAGGAAGCTATAATCCACCACAGCAAGATGATTTGCTATAAACAGGGCACGAAGGGCACTGGGTGAGCACAGCTTGGGTTCCTATCAGAAATAATGAGAGAATACACATTAGCTAGAGAAGTCGATGGTTTCCTGTGTGCTAGGCACTGTGCTGAGTGTTTTACATGGACTAACTTGTTTAGTCATCACACATCTACCATGTGGGTACGATTATAATCAACCTGTGCACTGAGGGGAAAGTAGCAGAGACTCAGAGAAGTTAGGTAACTTGCCCAAAGTCACACAGCTGGTGAATGGCAGAGCTGGGATTGGAACCCAGGCTGTCTGGTCCTTGACAGCAGGCTCTCCTAGATCAGGAAGATGAACAGGTAATGCTGAATTGTCCTCTTCTGCCTCTCAGATGATGGATAAGTTCATATCTATAGATCATGGAGCCAGGGGGACCCCCACCTGGAGTAGTACCCCAAAAAGTCCTCTTTGTGGAACTGCAAATGAGGTCAAGGTCTGTCCTGAATCCCAGGCCACACTGTGCCAGCTGGACTTCTCCAGTGTTTAGAGAAGAGAGAGGACTGGGAAGACGTTAGGGGTGCAGGGTTCCAGAGCTCTGGCCTGATGTCCAAACAAACCTTGTTCCTTAGGCCTCAGCCCCTGCAGCAAGTTACCTGCCGGGGCCCTGAAATTGGAAACAACCTTGGTCCCTCGCCGCTGCCGGGAGATGCCTTGGAGGCTCAAGTTGCAGTGACAGTGGATGAGCTGGTCTTTCCCCATCTCCTGGGACTTCTCTCCACTTTCTTTCCCGTGTCCGCCCCCACAGTCTGAGCATTATTCATGCCTGAAATATCTCAGAAAGCCGCATCAGCCCTGCCCTCCACCCAAAACCACATGGCCTTGTGGCTTGTGTTCTTTAAAGGGTCATCTTCCTCCCTGCCCTTGTGGACTGACCCCCCCACCCCTACCCGCACCCCAGGCCCTTCATATTCCTCTGTTTCCCTGGACAAAGGAGGGACAGGACTGGCATTCCTGCTTGGCCCCTACTAGGAATTTGCCTACAGACACCACCTTTCTATTGGCCTCTGGGACCCTGGGCAGCAGAGCTGGCCTTCAGGCACCTGCCATCAAGACCTGTGGGGTCTGCTGACAGTTCCACTTCAGCCTGTCCTGGACCACTCCCACATTTTGGAGAAAGTAAATGACATTGGTATGAGCCTCTCCCACTTGCTTTGAGGGGCCCAGAAGGCTCAGGCCTTAGTCCTAGCCCTGCCCATTTCCAAGATGAGGGGAGCACGCTCTTTGGGGGATGCCACTGTGTGTGTCACCCCAAGGGTCAAGGCTCTAGGGAGCGATGGTCTCTGATGACGGCAGCACAAACTCAGCGCACACCCAGACCCCTTCAGCCTGTGCCATTTACTTCCAGCTGCCAGCAGCCCAGTCCTTCTGCCCAAAGACTCTCTGGTCACCTGCTCACTGGCTGAGGGTGTTTCATGAACTAACTTGTTTAGTCATTGCGTGTCTATACTCTGCCTGTGCACGTAGGCCAGAAGGGCCTCCAGTGAACAGGCCTTCCTCTCCCAGGAGCCCTCAACCAGTGACTGGCGGTAAATCCCCCAGTTCCTCCCCGTTCATGTCCCAAGAGCACCCTTTAGGGGCTTCAGTCCTTGCCTGTCTCACCTCCTACCGCCCCAGCCAGTGCTTCCTGGGATCGCTTTCCAAATAAATGTCTTGCATTTGAATCCTGGACTTAGGGTCTGCTTGTGAGGAAACTCAGACTAAGACAACATCTAATTGCCAGCATTTATCGAGCACTTGTTGCCGAGCATCATACTCAAACACTTCACGTGTCTTGATTCATTTAATCCTATGACCGTTATCATCTCCATTTCACAGATGCAAAGACTGACTCAGAGCTGGGGCTTGAGATGACTCCTCCCATGACCCGGTCCTCTAGCCAGCTGACATTGCTCACTCTCCTGCCCTCTGCCCTGGGAGGCACAGGGAGCTTAAGTCACTTGGTCACACAGCAAGTTAGAGGTTGAACTACTTGTGTTCAGGAGCAGGCCTCCAGGCTGGGAGCCCTCACACTCACCCTGTGCTAGGCAAACCACAGCCCCTCAAGATGTTCCCCTCCAAGACGTGTGATTGCTACCCTCTACGACAAAAGACTTCGCAGATGCGATTAAGTGAACAATCTTGAGGTGGGGGGATGATCATGGAGTATCCAACTGGGCTCGACGTTATCACAACAGTCCTCATAAGAGGATGTCCTCCTCCTGTCTCTTTCAGGCAGAAGATGATGTGATGATGAAGCAGAGGAACAAAGAGAAATTTGAAGATGCTACACACTTGCTTTCAAGATAGACAGGGTCATGAGCCAAGAGATGCAGGTGGCCTCTGGAAGCTGGAAAGGTGAGGGAACAGATTCTCCCCTGGAGCCTCCAAGTGGAACCAGCACTGCCAACACCTTGACCTTAGCCCAGGGAAACTGATTTTGGACTTCTGGCCTCCAGAGCTGAAATAGAATACATTTGTGGTGACTTAAGGCACTACATTTGTGGTGATTTGTTACAGCAGCCACAGGAAACTAATGCAAACACTAAACCAGCCAGTACCCTACCAACTGCTCAGCTGCAGCATGTTCCTGACAACAGCTGACACTTGGCAGGCACTTCACCAAGCAGCAGGCAATTACAATCCATCACAGGGGCATAGAGAAGGGGCGCCTGGTTTGAAGAATCAGGGAAGACTTCCTTCAGCCTAGGCTGGGAGGAAAGGGAGAGGGAGGGCGCTGGACAGAGGAGCAGTGAGTGCCAAGGCCAGGAGGTGAGAGAAAGCTCAGTCGTTTGAGGAACTGAAAGGATTCAGTCTGGCCAGAGTTTGAGGGAGAAATGATAGAAGCCCTGTGGTGTAACGGTTAGGAGGCGGGCTTCCTGAGTGCTTGTGTGCGAGGCTCGGCCTTGCTGTCTACCCCCTGTGTGATTTGGGGCAAGTAACTTGACCTCTCTGTGCCCCAGTTTCCTCACCTGCCTGATGGTACTCACCTCATAGGATTCTGTGAGCTTTAAATACCCCTACAGTGCTTGGAACAGTGTCTGGCACAGAGGAAGGCTCTCTGTGAGAAGAAGCCTGTCTCCCCGTATCAACAGTGGGCTGAGTGTACTGTCCAGGGCTGCCCAAGGGGAGGCCCACATCCCTGACTGTGAGAGCGGGTCAGGGTCACCAGAGCCAACCAGCATCAGCCTTGGACTTGTTCTGCAAGTTCTGGGAAGGAGGTGCTCTCTCCTGGTTGAGCTGTGAGGAGGTCAGCCTGGAGCAGCTGAAGGGCAACTCCATCACCACGTGGGAGGCCCTCATCCAGGAAGGCAGAGCCCGGGAGGGAGTGAAGCAGATCCTGAAGTTGTCACTGAGGGCCCTGGATCCAGATGTGCCTGAAGCACCCTCTCGGACTATCTGGTTATGGGGACAATAATTTCCCTTTTTGCTTCTGGAGTTTCAGCTAGGTTTGGTCGCCGGCAACCAGGAGAGTCCGGGTCGACAGGTGTGTGCTCAGCAAATGTGCATGAAGTGACCGAATGAACCCTGTAAGTTTGGGGTCATTGCATGGTAGGGGCCTCACTTCTCTGTAGGAATATAACGACTGGCAGGGATTCTGCATTTGGCCTGGGAAAGGACCCTCCCTGTTCTCCTCAATGCAGGGCCTGGCATCCAAGTCTAGTTTCCTTCTGAAGAAGGATGAGGCTCCACTCAGGGCAGGTATGTGTCCGGCTGAATCCTTGTTTTCCTCTCCCTGAACCAAACCTCCTCCAACAGGGAAGATCTCAAGTTCTTCTTGCAACTGGGAAATAGGAAAGGAAGCTGAGTGCTGAAGTGAGTGCTGAGTGCTGAAGCTGAGTGCTGGCCCACGGGGTAAGATAAAGGCCTTTATCAGTCCCATTTTACAGACGAAGACACTGAGGCAGAGAGGTAAAGTTACCTGTCCTCAAAGCTGGGGCCCACCAAACAGAACGCAGAACTCTTTTCTTGTCCCCAAACATTGCTTTCTCCTCCTTAGCCATTTTCTATCTGGTATCCACAAATTTTTTCTGGCTTTCTTGCCCTCTCAAGTCTGGACATGCTGATTACTTAAAATTACTCATTCCTTGTTCTTAGGTCATAAAAAAGAATGACCAGACCTGAGTCTGTCTCTGCTCCATGCTGTACAAGCTGTGTGTCCTGGGGCCAATGTCTTCACCCCTCTGAGCCTTGGTTTCTTCGGCCATTGCTGCGGAGCTGGCAAAACCTGCTCTCAGCCTTTTTACAAGGACTAAGTGAATTAATACATGTAAATGCTTTAAACAGTAAGTCCTTTTAAAGTGCTCAATAAATAGCTTTTCTCATTCATTTCCTTCAGGAATTATATTGAGTGGTGTTTCTTGGAATGAAGTACAGGAAAATGTCTCCCAAGTAAGTGAATAACACAACTGTGAAAACTGCATTTTCATCTAACCTTTTTTGCTTTTTGCTTTCAAAGTCTATCCACATTGGCAGAAGAGCAGCAGCAAGAGGGTAGGGTAGGGGAAGGGCTGGCATTTCCTAATTCTCACCATGGCAGATGAGCTGGTATCAGGTCAACCCCCTCGTCAACAGCACCAACAGCACTGAGAAATGACTGAGAAAGATGAGCCTGTTGGGAGTGGCTTTTGCCTTTAAGGAGTGTCCTGGCTGGGGCAGCTGAGAGGCCGGGGAGCTGGCAGAGCTTTGGTATCTCAAGGTCTGTAGAACAAAAATTGGAATGCAGGACCCACCGTGGTGGTGGTTCCTTGATAAAACCCCAGGCTTGAGGGGGGACTCTAATACCTGTGATTCATGCATTCAGGAAATTAAGTAACAAGACTTTTAGCAGAAAACTGGAAACTATCAAAAAAGTTTCAGAAATTTTCATCACATCACAAAACACCTGCTACCCATTAAGTAGTCTCTCTCCAGCCTCCCCACCCCTTTCTTGGTAACCTCCAATCTGCTTTCCATTGTGATGGATTTGCCTGTTATGGTTATATCACCTAAAATAAAGCACACAGCATGGAACTTCTGGCTTCTCTCACTTAGCGTGTTTTCAAGATTCATCCACGTTGTAGCTTTTATCAGTATTTTGTTCCTTTTTATGGCCCAGTAATAGTCCATTGTTTGGCTGTACTACATTTTGTTTATCCATTCATCCATTGATGGACATTTGAGTTATTTCTGCCTTTGGCTAGTGTGAATAATGTTGCATAAACATTTGTGTACAAGTTTCTGTGTGGATATATATTTTCATTTCTCTTGGGTATATACCTAGGTGTGGGTAAGTCCTTGTTCTGTAACTTTTTTTTTAATTAATTATTTTTTTCTCAATTGAAGTATAGTTGATTTACAATGTTGTGTTAGTTTCTGGTGTACAGCATAGTGATTCAGATATATATATGTGTGTGTGTGTATATATATATATAAAACAATATATATATATATTTTCATTTATACATTACTACAAGCCATTGTATATAGTGTGCTATACAGTAGGAGTTCCAAAGCTTCTTGCTGCAGTTTCCTTGTCTATAAAATGGAGCTAGTGGTGGGACCCAATAGGTGATGTTACATGAGACAGTTAATACCAAGTGGTTGCTATAGATCCAAGCTGTGGCCCCATTAGGTGGTAAGTATGTGTTACATGACTGTCTGCCCAGTGAGGTCCCATGTTCCTGGAGGGCAGGGGCTGTCTCATGTGTCTGCACCCCCAGTGCCTGGCATCCTGCTGGCATGGAGCAGACACTGAGTTACAGTTCCTGGAATATTGGGAGGTGACGCTTGATCATGGATGGCCTTCCTCTTCCCTTGGGCTCTGCCAGTGCCCTGAGGAGCACAGTTATTATTGCTCTTTTCAACCACTGAGGAACTTGAGCCTCCTGGAAGCTGACTAGCTTAATTAATGTTACAAGACTAAAGAGAAGCAGAACCTGAAGTTCAACCTAAAACCTCAAGCAAGAGTTCATTCATTCATTCATTCATTCAAACACCAAATATTGACTGAGCACCTGCTGTACACCGTGAATTATTTGGGAAGACAGTATAAACAATATCAGTAAGCTATATGGTGTATTTAAATGATACATTCTCCACTAGAAGGTGATTCGTGTCAAGGGGAAAAAGAAGGCAGGAAAGGAGGATGGGGAGTTGCGAAGGGAGGGGTGAGTTTCAGTGTATATAAAGGGTCAGTGTGCGCCTCCCAGACAACAGGGCTGTTCAGTATAGATTTGAGGAAGCGAGGGAGTGAACCACGTGAATGCCTGGAGCTATGACTCAGGATCGAATTAGAAGCAGCTTTGGCTGGAGCTCTTCTCAACACTGACGATGATGACAGATGCCACTTCCCACTCACCTGCTCTGTGCTCAGCCCTCATCACCTACGTGATTTCCCAAGTGTGAGGTGGGTGTCACTGTTATTCCTACAGAACTCATCAGAGCTAGAGTGGGAATTTGAACCTGGATCTGAGTCCAGAATCTGGGCCATGCCTGGACTTCTCATGGTTTGCCGGGAGGTAGTGTGGTGCTGAGGGTCCGAGCCTGGGCTGTGGAGTCAGACCTATTAACACGATGCTTGGTTAACATCCCTGGGCCTCAGTTCCTACCTCATGGAGTCGTGTGACGATTACATGTGGCCACAGATGTGTGCTCAGCACACCAGTAGTTGTTGTCATGATTATCATTGTTGTCGCTAGAGTTTTCCATTCTAGAAAGCCATCCGGTCCAGTGAACTCCCTCTGGTGCTAGCCAGCGTGGGTCACATGGCTGGTCACCCATCTAGGCCAACAGAGGTACACACCTCTCACACTTGGAGAATAGGGGACCCTCAGAGACCTCGCTAAGCTTGGCCAACCATGTTCTGACTCTTCTCTTGTTACTTCTCAATGAGCTTCAGTAGCCAACAGCTTTCCCAGTTATGCTCCAGTGATACCAAGGAAAATTCTATGGTTACCGCAAACCCCTCCCATCCCTTCACTATTAAAGATCTACAAGGAGGCTTTGGAGGGAGGACTGACCTCCAGCTTTTTCAGAAGGGCCTATCTTCTATCAGGGCTGAGTCTAGTCTGAGCTGAGAGTGTATTTACTGGCCAAAGTCTGCTCCAAAGTAAACATGTCATCACATTCCTTGCAGCCTGTAAACTCCGTGGGGAGAAGTTGGGGGCCGTCCTGGAGAGAGGAAACCTTATCTGACTCCATTTCAGCAGGATTCCACTTAGCCTGCCCTTGGTGGGGGACTTGGGGGGAACAGAAGGGAACAGACTGTCTTAAATGAGCTGAATAAAAGAAGCACATTTGCTGCATTCTCTGCAACGATGGGTTGAGACTAGGAAACTTACAAGTGAAAGAGCACACATTTTAATGTGGGTGTGCCTTTGAACTTATCCTTACTGGTGTTTCTTCCTGTAAATGCGAAACAGATTTGTTGTCTTTTCTTTCCTTTCTTCTTTCCTCCTTCCTTCCTTCTTTTCTTTTCCTTTCTTTTCCCTTCCTTTCCCTTCCATTTCCTTTCTCCTTTTCCTTCTCCTGTATGATGTACTTACAGTAAACTGCACATATTTGAAGTGTATAATTTGATATTTTTACATCCCCCCCCCACACATATTCATGAAACCATTACTACAATCAAAATGGGGAACATAACCATCACTCTGAAAAGTCTCCTCATACTCCTCTGTAATCTCTCCCTCCCACCCCTCCCCACTTACCCCTACGTCCCCAGGCAAACACTGATCTGCTTTCTGTCACTATCATTAGCTTGCATTTTCTAGAGTTTTACAAAAATGAAATCATACAGTTTGTATTCTTTTTTTGTCTATTTCCTTTCGCATAATTATTTTGAGATTCACCTACATTGTCCTGTGTATCAGTAGGTCCTTACTTTGCACTGCTGAATACTAACTAGTCCGTTGTATGGATGCACTACACTGTGTTCCCATTCACCTGTTAATGGACCTTTGGGTTGTTTCCAGTTTTTGGCAATTACAAGTAAAGCTGGTACAAACATCCAAGTACAAGTCTTTTTATAGACACATGCTTTTATTTCCCTTGGGTAATTACCTAGGAGTGAAATGGCTGGATCATATGTTTAACTTTTTTTTTAAGTTGTAGAAATTGACTTTTATTTATTGTACTAAAAGTCAGTTTAACTTTTGATACAATTTTTTATATATATGTTTAACTTTTTAAGAAACCATTTTCCAAAATGGGTTTACCATTTTATATTCCCACCAACAGTGCATGTTTAAAAACATTAAAGAAACATTTAAGGTAGTAAGAAAGTCCTTAAGGTAGAAAGTAAAACTTCTTATAATTCCACCTCCTAGTGACTGGCCTGCTTAACTGTTTCCTATAAATCCTTCCAAGGTTTCTTTGTTTTTCTTACATACAGAACCAGATTGAGACATAGAGGTGCCCTGGGCAGGCTAATAATTTGGCATCCTCTCAACTTATAAAACAAAGTTGGTCCAAATTTACTTGGGCAGGATGTAGAGAAACTGATTATCTGTGAATAAAACACATCATTTCTCTTTCTTTTTAAAATAAAGAATTTATTACATGCACAGAATAAAATGTGATCTTTTAACTTACTCGGAATTGTCCTGGAATTGCAGTTGTCCACGCAGTCACTTCTTAAGGACGGCATCAAAGCACATATGACTCAGATGATGCACTGAAAAATCGCCGGGCCTTGGGGCAGCATGCAGCTCTGACCAAGGAGTAAGCTGACAGAGCAAGGACCTGAGAGAACTGTCACCTAGCTGGACTCTGGTGGCACAGGCTGGGGAGGAGACTGTTCCAATTTTCCTAGAGGAGGCTATTTCTTTCAGAGCACTGGTTAGAGGTCTGTCCCGTGTGGAAACCTGAGTTGACTGACACTGTTTGGATCTAGCCCAGTGCTGTGCAGATTCTGCGTCTAGACCGGCACCCTGCCTGGCTAATCAACTCTGTGCTTATATTAATATATTTTAGTGTTATTTTTATTTTTAAAGTGTGTACACAAATTAGATCATACATATTCCTGTTGATCTGTAACTTGCTTTTCTTTTTGTCCACATAACAATAAAGTCTGACATCTTTTCACATTAGCCTAGGTAGACCCATCACATTCTTTTGTAAAAAGTGCCCAGGTAGGCCACCAGATGCATGCACTGTATTATAGTACTTACATCAACTATAAAGAGCACATTAATCACCTTGGGGATCTTGTTAAACTGCAGTTTCTGATTCAGTAGGTCCAGGGTGGCACCTGAGATTCTGCACACTCCCAGGTGCTGCCCAAGTTGCTGGTGGGACCATACTGTGACGGGGCAAGACTGTAGTTAGTGCATGTGAGGGACCCACCATCAAGGGACACTCAGCTGTTAGAAACAGTCCTGCAATGAACAGCCTGAGTATCCA